GTGGAGTGAGGGAATTTGGATGGGGGAGGCTCTGGGGGCTGCATCCACCCCTGCAGGCAGCGCTGCTGGATGCTGCCCATCCCTCTGAGCACTACCAAAGTGTGCCCAGCCACACACCAGCACTGATGCCTCCAGCTCCTGGGGACGATCTGGTTCCATCCCCATCTCTTCCAACATCCACCAGTGTCCCGGCGTTGCGTCTCCCTTCCCAGCTGCTCAGCTATAGGGACACACCGGCAGCGCCACTGAGACGCACCAAAGCTCTTAATTTCAATCAAACAGCCGCGCTGGACCTCGCTCACCACCACTACCACCCCACGTCGTGGCACGACCACTGGCACGCCGCCATACTGCGGCTCCCCTCCATCCAGGGGATGCCAGGCTGGGCTGGTTTTTTGGGGGTGTTTTTTCCCCCAAAATCCCATTTTTTTCCCTTTTTCTTTTTTTTTTTTTTTGGATGAGCAACGTTATGAACCTCGCAGAGCCGAATGAGTTGCAGCGGTTTTCTTTTTATAGGACAAGAAGACAGAAGAGTTCTTCTCTGGGGTGGCTCCAGACTAGAGGAAGTCTCTAGTGAGTTTCCACTTCACGTAGTACCCAGATCCACCGCCGCCGGCCCCTGCCCCGGCCCCGCTAAGTCCTCTCTTCTCTTTTGTGTCCCAGCAGGTACAACAGGTTCAGGTCTTTGCCGACGTACAGTGTACAGTGAATCTGGTAGGAGATCCCTACCTCAACCCGCCGGCTTCCTTGGGCACCCCGAAGAACGCCGCCGGGCCGCCGCCGCCACCGGGCCAGCAGAAGAGCCTTCTTCAGCAGCTACTGACTGAATAACCGCTTTTCGAGGAATGTGAAATTTAAATAAGAAGACGTACAGAGATATATAAATATATATATTATATATTTTTCTGAGATTTTTGATATCTCAACCCGCAGCCATTCTTCAGCTCGTAGTGTTTGGAGCAAAAAGGGGGGGGGGGTGTTTTATTGAGGGGGTGGGGGGCTTCCCCTTAATCTTTTTTTTTTCTTTTTCTTCCCCTTTCCTCCCCTTTTTTCCTTCCTCTTCCCTTTTTCCTCTCCCTTCTTCCCTTTTTGCCTCCCCTTCCACTTTTCCCCCTCTTCCCCTTTTCCCCCTCCTTCCTCTTTCTCCCTCCCTTCTATTTTCCCCTATAAATTCCTGCCCTTCCCCCCCCCCCCCCTTTTATTTTCTCTTTTTATTTTACAAAGCGTTGGATGTGGGCGAAGTGACGAGGCGGGACGGTCGGTTACTCGAGCCAAAATTACAGATGATTCTTATTTTTGTAATCATTTTGCTGGCTTCTTAATCCGGAGGAAGGTTTCTCGGGGAGGCGGGGAGGGGGAGAAGGCAGCTGGAGGACTGCGGCGGCGGCAGGAGGAGGAGGAGGAGGAAGAGCAATCTCAGTTTCAGCTGGATCTGTCACTGATCACGTCTCGGCGCGGGGCACGGAAGGGGATCGGCGCTGGACTTGTGCGGGGAAAAGTCGTTTTTGTTATTCACGCTTCAAACAAAAGCCCTTCTCTCCCCTCCGCCCCAGCCCGCTTGTGCGTACAATCAGCTTTTTCTAGCAATCGTGAGTTTGTCGGTTTTAAAGAAAAAAAAAACAGAAAACCAAACAAAAAAACAAAACCCAGAGTATTTTGACCCACCATTTTTTCCATGTTTTATGCTGGTTTCAGGCCTCCAAGCGAAAAGGGGGGGGGGGGGGGAGGGGGGTTACAACTTGTATATTGCAACAGGAGGAGGAAAAAAAACAACAAAAGACAAAAAAAAAAGGACAAGAACAGAACAGTTTGGGGAGAAAACTGCAATAATTTTTAGGGGGAAGGATGGGGGGAGGGGTCTGTCAATTATTGTAGATAAAATTTTCTGATTAAATATGAAATAAAATTAAGCAGTCGGTTGTTTCTGCTTTGATTGTGTTTAACAGCTGAGGTAGCTTAAACTATTTAAAATAATAATAAAATAATAATAATAATTGAATTCTCTGCTGGGAGACAGCTTATTTTTTTTCCCCCTCAAGCCTGTCACTGTAAATAGCTCTGAGCTCTGTATAAATTTGGTTTCTTCTCTTTTAATCCGGGTTGCTTTTAATATTTACTGATGACTTTTATTGGAGGGTGGCTGTGGAGGGGCTTTTTCCCCCCAGTCCCCTCTAAAATCGCGCTGGTGTGTGGAAAAATGTGTGGCTTTATCGATTGACATTTGCAAGAGTTAAAAGAAAAGAAACAAAACAAAGAACCCGAGTTTCCAGCGAACGTTTTGGTGTTTCTGTGCTGGTGGGGATGCCGGAGCAGTGCCGATGGTGTTGGCAGCGGGGGGGGGGGGGGGGTCACCCCGTCCTCACACTGGGAACTCCTCTGTCACTACGGTTCGTGGCACTGGGAAGCTGGAAATCAGTGACTGCACAGAGTTTTGGGGGCCTCTTAAATCCCAAAGCGCTGTAGAGAAAATATATACATGGCATGCGTGTGGTTAGTCCTGCCAGCGCACACCCTCCAGCCCTGAGTTCAAGGCGGTGAGGAGCTGCTCCACATTCATCTTTAGTGGTGGAAAAAGGGGAAATTGGGGGTTACAAATGACATTAACAGCACGCCCAGGACGGAGAGAGTTGGGGCACACGTGTTTCTAGCTGACAACGCAATTTTTGTGTTAACCAAGCCGCTCGTTGCAAACGTTTTTACTGTAGGGGCAGCGCGGGGTGTGCAGCGAGTCCCGGCTCGGCGGGCGCTGCCGCCCTCTGCTGCTCGCACGGCTCCTGGCAGGGTTCATTGAGAATTGAACCATGGATAAACCGGCCCCTCTGGTGCGAGCGAGGAAGAGGGTATGCGGCATGGGGCCAGAGCCATGGAGGTGGGAGACACCGGGAACACTGCCCAGAATCCCTGGGGAGGACCGGGACACTGTGTCTGCAGCTTGTGGAGCACGGGCACAGGGAAAGCAGCCGTGAGGATCATAGAATGGTTTGGGTTGGAAAAGACCTTAAGATCATTCAGTTCCAATGCCCCTGCCACGGGCAGGGACACCTCACACTAAACCATGCCACCTAAGGCTCTGTCCAACCTGGCCTTGAACACTGCCAGCGATGAGACATTTACCACTTCTTTAGCAACAGGGAAGCATAAAGGGCTGCTCAACGGAAAGCCCAGCCCTAAAAAGCAGCAGAGAGATTTTCAAATGCAGCTGGACCTAAAAACTGAACCTGCTCACACTGCAGGGTGGAGATGTAAAAGCACACTGATGGCTCACAGCAAGTTAATATAACACAGTCACATTCTGCACAGAATAACATTTAATCCTCCCCACCAAAGAGGTGTTTCACACTGTAAATGCTATCACCGTGCAAGATGACTACCTGCTGCTGAGCATTAGCACTCCTGAGGCACAGCAGCTTTCCTCCCAACTCCCACCCAGGAGTGAACTCGGCTTTGGCCCAGGAGAGCTGCCAGTGCCCGGTCACTTCAATAGCTTAAATTTTTTCAGGTGCTGGTGCACTTGGTCCTTTGGGTAGGGCCTGAGCGCCAGGCAGGTGGCCGTGTTCTCAGGCTGCTCGGTCCACACTTCGTGGTCAATGCTGTGCTGCTTCAGGGTCTCTGCCAGTGCCGTCAGGGCGGCCTCATCCGGAGCCTGGGGAGAGACAAAGTGTGCTGTGAGAGACCCGGAGCCTGGGGAGGGACAGTGTGCGCAAGGGCTGGGGTGGGAGCCACGGGGAAGAGGCAAACCAAGGGAGGTTGTGCTGAGGCCAGGCCAGGAAGGCAACCAGCTGCCCGCATACAGTTAATATAGACAATCCCCATACTTTATCTCTTACCCCAGAAGCATGTTGCTCTGGCAGATCCTGGCTGCACTGCAGCCTCTGCAAGCACTGGAGTAGGAAAGAGGGGTTGTGAGCCAGCACAGGTTGTACGCCCTCAAACCCACAGGTTCTTCCCTGGCAGGCTGGCCTGGCTCAGCAAACAACTCTGCACAACCCTACACCCACACCGGGGCTGCTCCCGTCACCACCCCGCCTCGCCCTCACGCAGGGGCTGCCGTGCGGCCCCGAAGGGCATGAGGCCGCGGTTCATTCCCCAGGTGTGGCGGAAGGGACGCCTGGGACCGCGAGGGCAGCCCGGGGTAAGGCGACTCAGAGCCGACCTCCCCCTTCCCGCTGGGCCCGGCTGAGGCCGCGGATGCCCACTGACCCACAGACCCACAGCCCCACTCCCACCCCCCAACACTGTGCCGCTGCCCCTCCGCTTCGGCCGCCCCGCTGAGGCGGCGCTCCCAGCATGCCCCGCGGCTCCCGGCGTGCCCCACGCACCTCCAGCACGACAGTACGCATGGCGCCGCCCAGCTCCAGGTAGGCACGGGTGTCGGGGTGCTGGCGGTGTCTGTGCGCGGCTGCCAGAGCGGCGTGACAGCCCTGAGCCACCACCGCGCCCAGCGGCCACGACCGCGGCGGCCGGGCCAGATCCCCCCGCAATACCACGTACTGCACCAGCGCCGCTGCTGCCGCTCCGGACGCCGCCATGCTGCCGTACAGCGCCGAACAGCCTACTGGGAGGCGGAGTGATGCTTGTGGAGAGGCAGCGTCGCCGCCGCCATTTTGTTGTACGGCGAACGGATGGGCGATCTGGTGACGCATTTCCGGCGGGGTGGAGGCGCGCAGTTCGAGCGCCAGTCGTTGCGGTGAGTGTGGGAGCTGCTGTGGGGCCGGGCCAGGAAGGGCACCCTCGGCTGGGGCACCCCGGGGCCCTGGCGCGGAGGTCCTCAGCTCCCCCTTTGTCCTTCGGTGGGGTCCCCGGTGGTCGCGGCCCAGCCAACCCCACCCGTGTGGGGAGGGCCCCGGCCCTCCCCCGGCGCTGTGGCGGCTCTCCCATGTCCCGCGAGTCGCGTCCGTCCCTGCCCGGCCGGGTGCAGGGTTCCTGAGGGGGCTGGTTTCAAGTAACGTGTTAACTTGTGTCGTTTCAGCCGGCGGGCAGTGGGCTGTACCTGCTAGACCGGCCCCCGCCGCTTCACGGGGGTCTCATTGCAGCAGCAGGAGGAAGGTTCCCTGAGGAAGAGCGCTTTCTGCATCCACGTCACCACTTCCCAAGGGGTGGAGTGTGGCCAAGGAAGGCTGACGTCTGTCTTGTTGCTCGCAGGAGAGCAACAAGGGAAGATGGACAAAGGGAATATGAATGCATGGGATGGTGAGCTGTCTGGGGCAGGACATCCAATGCCAGGGCCTCACCACCCTCAGAGGGAAGAAATTCTTCCTAAGATCTCATCTCAGTCAGGTTAAAGCCTCTGTCAGTTTAAAGCCATTCCCTCTTGTCCTGTCCCTACAGGCCCTTGTCAAAAGCCCCTCTCCAGCTTCTTGTCAGCCCCTTTAGGCACTGGAAGCTGCTCTAAGGTCTCCCTGGAGCCTTCTCCAGGCTGAACAAGCCCAGCTCTCTCAGCCTGTCTCCATAGCAGAGCTGCTCCAGCTCTTGGAGCATCTTCCAGGCCTCCTCTGGACTCGTTCCAACAGCTCCACATCCTTCACACTGGGGCCGCAGAGCTGGGATGCAGGACTGCAGGGCGGTGTCTCACCAGAGCAGAGCAGGGGAGAATCCCTTCCTTCGACCTGCTGGTCACAGTGTTGGTGATGCAGCCCAGGACACGGTTTGTTTCTGGGCTCAAGCGCACACTGCTGGGTCATGGAGAGCTTCTCGTTGACCAACAGCCCCACGTCCTTCTCCCCAGGGCTGCTCTCAATCCAGTCTCCGCCAGCCTGTGTTTGTGCTTGGGACTGCCCTGAGCCATGTGCAGGACCTTGCCCTTGGCCTTGTTGAGCTGTAAAAGGTTTGCACTATCCCGCCTCTTCAGCCTGTCCAGGTCTCTCTGTATCTCATCCGCTCCCTCCAGCATGTCCACTGTATCACACAGCTCAGTCCCAACACCAAGCCCTGAGAAATGCCACTGGTTTTCACTTTGACATCAGGCCATTGACCACAACTCTGCCATCCCAGATTCCCCAAAGCCTTTTCACCAAATGTTTGCCCGCCCTCTCTCTTTCTGAACAGTTATTGTATGTACTTTCTTTATGAACCTGCACTGGACCTACTTTGTTTTGGATTCCATAGTGCAGACCACTGTTAATCCTAGCCTGGAATTTTGAGCTTGTTGTGCTTTTCCTTACAGGAGTGCTTGCTCACCTGGAAATGCTGGAAGCGCGGGTTCATGAGGCAGCCATGAAGCAACATGAAAAGGAGCTGCAAGAAGAGAAGCTCACCAGGCTGAAAGCAAGAGTGAAGGAGCTGAGACTCCAAAGGGATGAGCTGCGGGCTAAAGTGGATCTGCTGGAAAAGAAGGTGATAAAGGGCTCACTGCAGATCTGGTGGAGGGCTCTGGTTTGTTCCTGCTCTCAGGGGGTGTATTCACTGAGGTTACTTATATAGACTCATATCATTTTTTTATTTTCCCTTTTTAAGTGACACACAGTCCTGGTGTCCCCTGTTTTCAGTGCCGTGTAGTCCAGAACTCTTGTGTCTACTTGCTTGCAGGTTGTGGGGCTGTTTCTGAAGTCAAGAAAGAGCTCTTCCCTCCTCTTCTGTTTCATTTCTCCCCTTTTCTGCTTGAAATGCTGTCTTGCTTTTCTCAGAGCCAGGTTATTATTTCTCTGTATCCTCTTCCCTGCAGGTGACACATTTGTGTCAGTGATTTCTGATCTCTTTTTCTATTCTGGCATTTGTAGCAACTTGACAAAGAAGGAGCCACATCAGATCCAGCACAGGCCAGTCCTAAGACTGTTTTACAGTGGAAGATAAAAAGCCTTCAGGCAATGCTGCAGGTCTTTTACCTCACAGGTAACACCCTGAGATCTGTGTGTGTTCTGCCAATGGCTGCATTTCTGGGGTGCTAAATTTTGGAAACAGAGCCTGATGGGAAGTGTAACTGCTGCTCTTGTGCTTGAAGCCTTCAGAGTCTGAAACCATTGGAAGAGCAGTAGCTTTGTAGTTTCCTGCCTTTCACAGGAGGCCTCTGGGATGTTGCAGGAACTGTTATTTACTGAACCACATCATTTAGACTAAGACCTGGATCCTGGAAAATGTGTAACTGCCTTAGGAATGAAATCTTTGAGAATTAGGGAGTTTAAGTATCCAGTACTCTGGGTCTTCCAAGCAAGCCTGTGAGGTCAGCACCCTCTTTTTATCTGCTTCTGGGCTTTTAAAAATATTGGTTTCCAAAAAGAATCACCTTTGTTCTGGACAGTGTGAGGATGTGAGTCCTGCCTGATGCAAGGGGACTGAGCCCCACCATGAGTACTCCTGTTGTTCTCCTTGAGGCAGCCAGGCACTGCCTTCCTCACACAGCACACACTGCTCTCCCTATCATGTTGGAGCCAGGACTGTGTTTGGAATTGGCAGCATAACTTGGTTATTGGGAATTTAAGCTACCATTACGCTGCTTGAATATATTAGAGGTCCCTTATTTACAAAGTTGCTGCGTTTTATGTCTTTAAACTCTTGCAAGTCCTCCTAGGATGCTCCCTGAGCAAGCCTAGGAAAAGGACCCAGCACCTCATACAGCCTTTGTTGCTTCAACAAAGATGTCCTGTGGCAATGAGTTAAAGCACTGCTCAGTAAAGCCCTCTCTCTCTGGACCCAAGGGATCAGTGGGAAGCTGACCAGGCAGGGAGTGTGCTTCTGCATCAGCACAGCTTACGAGGGCACCTACTTGGATTCTTACTCCCTGGACCTGCTCACCAAGTCAGAAGTGCAGATTTACCACCACTCTGTCCCCTCCTTCATCCCCCTGGAGCAGATCGCCAAGCAGTACTTGCAGACGGACATCAGGCGCTTCTTATCCGTCTTGTCCGACCACCTGAATGCTTATGTTGGGAGGAGGTACCAAGCAGACCAGTTACAGGTACCAGTGGCTGCAGCAATACTCTTCACCCATGTGGTATACCAAGTGTTAGGAGTCTGAAGTGCTGGGGGGGAAACTTGACAGTTTTCTTTATGTGAAGCACTGATGGTTGTGGTTTTCAGAACTTTGCTAAGTTACCTCATGTCTGTAAACTCAGTTCCATCCACTGTCACGTACTTGGGTGTTGTCTGGTCGGTCAGTTAACATTTACTGCCAAGCTCCTGAGGCCCCTAAGCAGAAATAGCTGTGATCTTGTAAAAAGCTGCTGGAGGGCATGGCTTAGGGGCTTATTAAACTCTTAAGAACACTGGTTTATTTAAGTCTTTTCCATGCAAAGACTGCTCAAAGGGCATGCCAGGCTGGTGCTTGGGGCACTGCGCCTACCAAAATCCCAGCCCTGTGCTGATGGACTTCCTTCCTAGCTTCACATTTCAGAAGTTGTCTTTGTCCCTTCAGGAGCACTTTTCAGACCAGATAAAAGGAACCTTGCGGAGAAACTCCTTGTGTAACTTGCTGGTCTTTAATTACAACGTGTCAAGTAAAAGCAAGACATTTCCATTCAACGTGAGGCTGGTTTATGGTGATCTCTGTCGCAGCCTCCCCACTGAAGTCATCGTTTCCTGCACACGTAAGCAGACCCTGCAGGGGTCTGTCTGGGGCAGATGGGGTGGGCAAAGCGTACTGTGGTTCTGCAGATGAGTGGGGGTTCTTTCTTGTTGAGTTTAAGGACAAAAGGAAGCAAGCTGTCATATTTCTGAGGAAGAAAAGATTATAGAAGGAATTGTGTGTAATCAGTGCTGGGTTTTGAAGCAGTTGTAATTCATCCCTAGCACAGATCTCTTGCAACACTGGCAAGATGGGATGGCTGGAGGGAGGGAAATACAATGGGGGTGAGAAGGAAAAGTTTGAGTGCAAGCTTGGATTGCTTCAGATGGACAGGCTGCTCATTCCTGGTTTTCACTTACTCAAAGTGCAGTCTGGTATGGTCCCAGCTGGATCAGGACACTGTTTCCACAAGTCCCACAGATAGAGGCCAGCCTGTACTAGTGTGCTCTGTGCACGTGGGAGAGTCTGGCAAGCAAATCTAGCCAGAAACTTGGAAGCTGTCAAGTCTTAGTCATAGAATGGTTTGGACCATTCAATGACAAGCCTAGCTCCCTCAGCTTCTCCTCCTCTGTAGAAGTGCTTCAGGCCTTGGAGCATCCTTGTGGCCTCCTGCAGACTAAATCCAATGAGTGTCTTCTGAGATAAGAGAGCAGTGAGGTGGCCCAGGCTCCTGCATTGCTGTCCTCACTTTTTGGCAGTGGGTGTTTCTTAAGGCACTTGCTTTCCGCAGCCGTCAAATCCCGTGGGGGAGCTGCAGCATTCTGAAGGATCGGGAAGGAGGGTGAAGGGTTATGAGAACTAAAACTGTGTGGTGAGGGAGAGCAAGAGACTCCCTCAGAACAGGAGAAGAATGAGAAGTAAATAGTTTTCTGTTGGCAATGTGGTGTTCCTTTCCCCGCTGATCCATCCTTCTCCCTGCCAGCGGATGCTGCTCCAATTCTAACAGAGGCTGCCACAGCTCACTCGGACCTGTTCCACCGCGTGCCCCTGCACAAAGCCTTCCGCTCCTTCAGCAGTGCAGGAGAAACCCTGGATAGGACACCCTAAGCTGCCCTGCCTGTGGGAGCTGATCTCAAAGCACAGGTGTTTTCCATGGACTTCTGCTGGGAACCTCCCAAGTAGCGAGTGACTGAATCTTGAGAGCGATGTTTCCTCGAGGCTTTCAGGCTCTCCTGTTGCAGGTAATCTTCCCCTAGCGCTGTGCTGCTCGCGTGTCTGAATGCTGACTTCTGTGGTTGGTGCCACAGATCTTCATGGCTGCAGGAAACATCTCACAGCTGGGATTAGACATTGTATTAAAACTTCAGGATCTCGGTGTTTTGGGGGCAGTGTCCTGCGGATCGTCCAGTGCACCCCACAAAGAGGGGAGTGAGCAGCAAAATTGGTGTTCTGCTTATTATAGCCAGGAAAGGACTTTGTGTTAGAAGCTGGAAGGGGCTGAGGGACAGAGGTGAGGTTTAATTATTGCCAGCAGCAGCCCCTGCCCTCAGCAGGGCTGCATTAACCCCCAACCCCTGAGCCTCAACACTGAGTTTACCAGAAATTTCATACCAGTAGTGCCTTTACACCTGCTATTTCCTGCGCTTCAGGCACGGGGCAGCTTCACTGGTGCCCTGTTGTGCTTCAAGTCTGGGTCAGATCTTTAAAACTTGCCTTGTAACAGTACTTTAACATCTTTTTAATAAAAGTTCTGTTTTACCAAAATTGTCCTGTTTAGAAAAAAATCATCTGTTAATTTCCTTTAGCTTTATAATGTGGTTTAGTAGAATAAAATGGGAGAAAATACTGTCTTTTAAATCCCATCTCTCATTTCTTATGACTGCATCTGAGGGGCAGCTGTGAGTTCAGAAAGGATTCTGCTCTAACCTTGTGCACCTTCCTGTTGAGGGGAGGCAGAGATGTGGGGTGAAGGGCTGGGCTGTGTTTTAGGGGCAAGTCAGTGGGAGCCAGACCTTTAAGCTGCTGGAGTGAAGTGCCACAGCTTGTCACTGAGGCCACTGTGGTAAAGCCAGGCTTAACCAGTCTTGAGCATAACACCCTGTGTGTGGGGGACAGAGGGAGGCAGGTCCAGGCTGTAAGACCCATCCTGCCTCTGGGCTTGTATCCCAGTGTACAAGCACTGTTGGGAGGGATGTGCTGGGTGGTGTGGGTGCCTTCCTCTCTCCAGCATCACTCTTTGTCCCTGTGGGTGCTGTTTGCACCTGCAGCCCAGGCCCTGTGAGGACAGGGTTGTGGATGTGGATTTCCTTCTATTGCCATTCCCAATGTTGAGGTAGAGGTGCTCTGCTGCCAGAGCCACTGGAGCCCCAAGGAGGCAGAGGAGTGAATGCCACTGGTGCAAGGTGCTCAGCCTCCCCTTTGAGGATCCCTCCAAAGCCCTCAGAAAGGCAACCAACCCCTTCCCACTATATCCAAAGCTCCACAACAAAGCAGGCGCAGAATCAGGCTTTGAAATTCAACTGCTTCTATTCAAGAAACTAGCGGCATAATTACACCCTGTGTGTGCCTCCCTTCTCCCAGCCCTGGCAGCACCAGCTTTAACACACCGGTCCCCTCCTCAGCTGGTCCTTTGTCCTCTTCTCCATCAAGCAAGAGCAAAGTGACTGCAGCATCCACAGGGCAGTGTCCAAGGCAAGCGCAAACCCTGCTGCAGGGAGGGAACAGGCACAGTTAAAAATATAAATGTCAATCTGTACTCATATATATTTATATATCTGAAATACACAATATTGGTTCCTTTTTCTTCTTTCCCAAGTCAAAGGCAGCAGTGTGCTCTCCAGCTCCCCCATCTCCTAACTACCGTGGTTTGTGACGAGGATGAACTTGGTACAAACTAACAGCAAGTCCCGGATGCTCTCAGTTTGCAGCTGCCGCTCCCGGCACACAGAAGAGACGTGGTGTCTTCCCATCCGGCCCTGAGTTTGGATCTCCTCGTGCCGAGCATGTGGCAGCCAGGGCCCGTGGTGCTACTTTAATGTCATGTTGTCCCCTTGCATGGCTGGTGGTGCAGCTGCATGTCCCCAGGCCCATGCCCTCCAGGGGCTGAGAGCTGGTGTGTGCTTGCACTCGAGCGTGAGCGGCTGGAGGAGCCCGTGTCTCCCTCCTGCTCAGCTGCAGGCGCAGTAGAACAAAGCCCCACCAGGAACATCCAAGCAGGGGCTTGGAAAGGGCTGTGCCAAGGGGATGGTTTCTCAAGTTTGGTTTCAGATCCGGATGGCGGTGGGGTGGACGTGTCCAGGTCCCTCCCCGAGCCGCCCTGCTCAATGCCAGGAGGCAGTGGCTGTGATGGTGGGTAGGCACCGGACCCTCATGAACTGTCCACAACCTGATGGGGCAGGGTAACGGAGGAGCCGCTGATGAAGGAGCCCTGCTTCTCCCGGCCCTTGAGGAAGAAGGTGAGCAGCTCTCCTTTGCCCTTGACATAGATGGCTCCCCGGCGCACAAAGCGGAAGCCGTACTCCTTCAGGATGAGGTGGGTCTCCTCCACCACCTGCAGGGAAATGTTGGGAGGCTGAGAGGTCCTTGTATGGCACATGGCACAGGGAGCAGCGACCCCCAGGGCCTAGCTCCCATCCCATTGTCCTGGGGTGCCCTTTGAGCATCACCTTCCCCTGTGCCCAGCTCAGAGGAGCCAGCACTAACCCTCCCATGTGCTCCCAGCAGCACTTCTCCCCTCCCACCCACAGCCTGGGGTGTTTTGAGAGCTGCACCCCTCCATGGGTAGCCAGTTTGTCCCCTCCTCATCACTGCACCTGTATGTTCCCCATCACGCCAGTGGACTCCATCCTGCTGGCCACATTCACCGTGTTGCCCCAGATGTCGTAGTGTGGCTTGCGGGCACCAATGACACCTGCCAGCACGGCCCCCTTGTTCATGCCTGCAAAAGACAGGGAACAGAGGTTATCTCTGTGCCTGGTGACATGGATAGGACATCCTAATTGGAAGGAGGGTCTGTCCCAGGGAAGCTGTGGGGACAATGAGGCTCCCCCAGCCCTGCTGCCTTCAGCTGCTGAACTGCAGCTGCTGCCCAGTGTGCCATCACTGTTGGGGAAGGAGGGACAAGGGAGGCTGAGGTAGACCCTGCCCCATGCTACTGGACTTGCCTATACGAAGCATGAAGTTGTTGAAGGACTGGTAGTTGATGTTCATCAGTGTCACCTTCATGGCTAAGGCAAAGTCGGCCAAGTCAGCCAAGTGCTGCCAGCGCTCCTTATCTGAGAGGGTTTCCTTCTGCAAGAGCAGCATGGATCAGGCCTGCCCACCCCTTGCCCCTACTGTCCCCCATCCCCATGGGGACCCCTCACCTTGGTGCTGTAGCCATTGGCATTGGCATCAGGAGTCACTCCAGAAGCGGCCATGTAGGTGCTGCCAATGGTTTTGATTTTGGTGATGCAGCGGAACTGGGGTTCATCCAGGAGCTGAGTCATGGAGACAAGACCCTCAGGGACCCCAGGGCCAGGGCAGGTCCTTCTGCCCCTAGATGGGGCAGGAAGGGAAAGTCTAGCCAAGCCCCACACCATCCCCACGGCCGGTTCCATCCTAACTCACTGCGTCAAAGTCAGAGATGATCTCGTTGAGGAACCGCAGGCACTCAATGCCCCCATTGTTGATGCTCTCCTCTGTGTAGAAGTCAGCAAAGTTGGGGAGGGAGGCGAACATGACGCCAATCTCATCGTAGGACTGGCTGTACAGCTCCTGGGTACAGGATGGGATGGTGGTTGTAGGCCAGGGACATAGAATCATAGAATGATTGGGGTTGAAAAGAACATAAGCTCATCCAGTTCCAACCCCCTGCCACAGGTAGGGACACCTCACACAAGACCATGTCGCCCAAAGCCCCATCCAACCTGGCTTTTAAAACTGCTAGGGATGGAGCATTCACCACTTCGGGCAACCAAACAAGTGCCCACACATGACACCAGCACCTCCAGCAAATCTAAACCCTCCCATGAAACCATGCATCATCTTCAACAAACCAAAGCCTATCCCATCCACTCCCAAAATGGGAGCAAATGCCCCCTCCTGGGTGCCCCCTCACCTCGTCCCGCTTCTTGGAGCCCAGGAAGTGCCGGGCCACATGCTCAGGCAGCATGTTGGTGACAAGGGCCTCATTCCAGCGCCGCATCTCATAGACCCGCTCCTTCTGGTCATGGACATCTATCTTCCAGAGGAAGAGGGTCCTGGCCAGCTTCTCCACCTGGGGGTGGGGAATCGGGCTCACCCCCACTTGCCACCCACCAATGGGTCCTTTCCAGTGCTGGGAGCATCCTGTGGGGCTGGTGTGAGCTTGGAAGAAGGCTCTGGCACAAGGTGAAGCCCTAACTTGGGAAGTGAGACCTGCTCCAAGGCGCAAACAGAATCCTTGCGGGGCAGGCATGGGCCTTAGGGCCACCGTATTGCTGCCCACTCCTAACCGTGGGGGTGAGATGGAAGTGATGTGGTCCTGGAGAGCCCTTAGATGGGCTTCCTCAGAGAAGAGCTGGAGATGCTGCCTTGGAGCTTACAAGCAATATGGACAGGGGCTGAGGATGAAGGCGCAGAGGGGAGGGGAACAAGTCACTCACATGGCGAGAGAAGTAGTAAAAGCTGAGCATCACGATGAAGATCATCACTGTCATGGAATACTTGGAGGGGACCAGCAAGGACCTGTGGCAGAGGTGACACAGCATGGATGTGCGGTGGGTATGGCTGTGCCCTGCAACCCGTGCCCACCCCCCTGCCACCCCTTACGTGCTTTGCTGGCCATGGCGGCGGTCGTACTGGTCAAAGATGTGCTCCCAGGCGTAGATGTTGACAGCACCAGTGGCCCCAGTGATCAGCACCATGAGGGTCAGCTTGACCATGTGGCTGACCTGCACCAGCATGATGGTGGCCACCAAGGCCAGCAGGGCAATGTAGCTGTAGTACTTGGGCTGCTCCCCGCAGCCGCCTGCCTGGGGTGGCCCTGCTGTCCCGTTGCCCATCCCGCTGTGGTCCTGCCGGCAGCTGAGCTGGGGGCATGAGGGCAGGGTGAGGAGGGGTCAAGGTGCACCTCTCCATGGGCTGCATGGCCACCC